ACCACGCCCACTTCCCATATAACGGTAATTTCCAGAAATACGAAAACTGCGATATTTTAGTAACTATTGAAGATAATTCACTCAAAATTGATATTTACAATAATTTTTAGACGAAAAATAAGAATATTATAAATTTATGGAAAATGGGCGTAGCCACGCCCGCTTATGGTTACATGTGTATGTCTTAGGAACCGCTGCACCAATTTCTTCCAAACTTGGCACAGTTGTTGGCCTTGGTACAGCATAAAAAATCGCCGAAAATTTTTAAAATCGGACAATAACCACGCCCACATCCCATATAACGGTAATTTAGAGAAATACAAAATCTTCGATAAATCAGTAAATATTGAAGCTAATTTATTCAAAATTGATGCTTGCAACAATTCTTTACCAAGAAATACGTTTATGGTAAAATTTTGGAAAATGGGCGTGGCACCGCCCACTTATGATCACATATATGTATATCGGTAACCGTTCTACCAATTTGTACCAAACTCGGTGTGGTTATTGTGCTTGCCACATATAAGCAAAACGTTGAAAATTATTGAAATCGGACTAAAATTACGGCCGCTTTTCATATAACGGTAAATTTCAGAAATGCTTGAAACTTCAATATTTCGAAATTGAAGGACGCTAATTTACTCAAAATTGATACACCCCGGCTTACCATCTAGCGGTAGGTTTCGGAAAGGTGAAAAAACATATATTTAATATTTGCGCCGGGTATTTAATGTTCGGCTCCGCCCGAACTTAGACTTTCTTACTTGGTTGGTTTTAATTTTATATATTGTTACTAAAAATTTCTACGTCATTCCTCGAACATTCTGCCTATTTCTCGTAGTTCGCTTCGCGTTGCCGCAGTATTCGCCACAATACAGTAAAATAGAAATAGATGAGAACATATTGCAGGGAACTGAATTTGCCATTACTCGACTTTGGATGCACCTGTTGGGCTCATTTTTGGCAGGTGTATTTGTCCTTAAGTTTCACTTTCAAAATTCATACACTTTGATTCAATTGCGCGTGCTAAAGATAAGTTTTAAATTAATCTTTCGTGGCCAATAGCTATTGGCTTAGAGCTAAGACATCATAATATTACTATTACAATACGGTCAAATGCCTTTTATTTTCCCCCATACAAAATCGACCCAGCCTACTGAACATTCTATCGAATATGTTTAAAATAGGGACAAAACGCTTACCATGTAGCGGTAGTTTTCGGAAAGGTGAAAAACATATATTTAATAATTACGCCGGGTATTTAATGTCCGCCCGAACTTAGACTTTCTTCCTTGTTTTATTTAAAAAAAAAAAACGATATCTTCGTACTTGTTGGAGTTATCTATTAAGGGTGAGGATCTTATAATTTTTAAACACGTGGCAACGCTATTCAAAAAAATAATACATACTACACCTCTGGAAGCCAAATCCTTTCATTGGACTCCTTCTTTTTTTTAATTGAATGAACTGTGCAAATCTGATATTATTAACCAAAAATGCCTTCACGTATTAGATAAATGTAAGGTAGTAATTTTTAAATAGGTAGTAGCCCGATAAATCAATAAAAACACATCTCGAGACCATATCCCTTCACTTGGTACCTGATTTTTAAAAATCTGGCAACCGTGCCCGGTTAATAATACATTATTTAACATCTATAGAAATTCTTAGTATTAGATATAAACAATGCACTTGGGTATACCCGTTATTCTGGGTATGCAACTACAGTTTGACAGCTATACTCAATCGCGGACCTTGCGTCCTCGTCCGCGCAATATGGGCAACGTGAGTTTGACGGCTATACTAATACCGAACCTTGCGTCCTCGTCCGCGCAATCTAGGCAACGTGAGGAGCCCATGTGCGGTGCGGTGAACAATCCGAGTGAAGCCTTGGGTCACGGCAGAAAAAGACACTCCGACATATTCAGTAGGTATTCGGCTAAGAAACCACCCCTTCCAGCAGTGGGTTGTGAGTCACAAAACCTCGGATGAGAAAGCCTTTTGATTACGACCACGGCAAACGTTTAAAGACTACGATTTGAGGGCTCGCACTTGGAATATCCGGGCTCTTAATGGGAACGGTGCCTCTGCCCGGCTGGTTGATGTCCTCGTAAGGACGAATCTGTAATCACCGTCATCAAATAAATGCGTTGGATGGGGCAAGGCAATTAATGTCTAGGGCCTTGCGACTTCTTATACACCTGCCACGTAAAGCAGCGCAAACTCGGTGTTGGATTTGTCTAGTACTATCGTTCATCCCGGTGGACGACCGACTAGGCATAATCCTCACCAAAACGAGATTATTAAATGTCTCGCTCACCTGCGCAAACATTCCGACGGAAGAGAAGCACGAAACGTCCAAGGATCTCTTCTATGCGCTCCGGAGTGTGCTTTGCCCAATTCACAAGAAAGGCGACCCGGCTAGGTTACAAGGTTTAATCAGTGTGACTTTTTGACCTGGCAAATCCAGTGTAGAAGGACTTGGCTGCACTTGGCCTTTCCAATTGGCGTCAGTTGGCACAGAAAAGAAGCGACTGGAGTGCATTGCTGAACTCGCCCAAAGTCGCTTGGACGGTTACAGAGCCAATGAAGAAGACAAGAAAGATAATACGCCTATCGTTACAGATGATATTAAAAAATAACGTTAAAATTCGTTCAGAGCATTCGAGATTAGCCTGGTCATAAATCTCGACTTTGCTTTATACTACTATATCTATGGCTAAGTGGAAGATTGACCTATCTCGGCAACCAGTTCGAAAATGCCCTATCTCAGAAAATTTCTCAACAACGCCCTATTTCAGAAATTGGCTGAAGAACGCTCTATCTCAGAATTTTATTGAAGAACGCCCTATCTCAGACCATTTTGAATACATTTTCATTTGAGATAGGGCGTTTTCAGCCAGATTCCGGGATTGGGTGCTTTTCAATAAAATTCTGAAATAGGACATTCTTCAGTCAAAGTCTGAAGTAGGGGGTTTGTGAAAAGTTGTCTGAGATGATGACAATATTTTAAAGTTTAACTGGCCTAAGGTGTAGTTCAGATACTCCTTTAATAGAAGCTTATAAAAATATAAAAATTTTCAAGAGAAACTGATTATTTTTTACTTCAAAGTCAAACTTTCTAAAGTCACTTAAGCTACTTTAATTGAACGGCATAGATATGTATAGGGAAAGGAAGGAAGGCTAGGCGGTTGTCACCATCGGATCTCTCTTTACTACCAGGAGTTACTTAAGTAGTTACTTACGTGATTTATGGACGCCCCCTTTCGTAGTTTTTCGCAATTCTGCTTCCGACTGGTTCGACTCTGCACTACCCTGCGCACTTCCACGGTTTAATAGAGTAGCTAAAAGTCGGTGTAGAAGCGGTCGAAAAGTGTCGGTGGACTCCAGCAGTGGAGGGATGTAAGTGGGCGGTGCAGCGCCCATTTTCCTAAAATTTTACAGAAAACCAATTTTTTGCTAACGGGCCATACTGCAATTTTGAGTAAATATTAATGAATTTCTAGCCACACAACTAAAAAACCGAAAGTCCAGTATATATTTACACTCTTAAAAATTCAAGGCCGTATTTCTACTTAAAGTGATAGATAGATACCATAAGAAATTTGTATACCCGAGCACACTTGTGCACAAGGGTATTATAACTTTGTTCACATAACGGCTGTTTGTAACAGCCAAAACGAATCGAGATATATATAGACAAATGTATACATAAATGATCAGAATGAAAAGAGAAATCGATTAAGCCATGTCTGTCTGTCCGACCGTGTACACGATAACTCGAGCAAAAATTGAGATATCTCAACGAAATTTGGTGTGTAAATTGCCCTTTATCCAAAGTAGGTTGGTATTGAAAATGGGCGAAATTGGACCGTACCCACGCCCACTTCCCATATAATGTTTGTTTTCATAAATACGAAAACTGCGATATTTTAGTAACTACTGAAGGTTATTCACTGAAAATTGATATTTACAATGACTTTTAGACGTAAAAAAAGAGTATTATAAATTTTTGGAAAATGGGCGTAGCCACGCCCACTTATGATTACATGTGTATATCTTGGTAACCGCTACACAAGTTCCTCCCAAACTGCTGAAAATTTTTATAACCGGACAATAACCACGCCCACATCCCATATAACAGTAATTTATAGAAACACGAAATCTTCGATAAATCAGGAAATACAGAACAAAATTTATTCAAAATTGATTTTTGCAATAATTCTTTAGGAAAAACACGTTTATGATAAAATTTTGGAAAATGGGCGTGGCCCCGCCCACTTGTGACCAAGGGTGTATATTTCGGTAACCGTTCGATCAATTTGTACCAAACTTGGTACGATTATTTCGCTTACCACACAAAACCAAAACGGTAAAAATGATTGAAATCGGACTTCAGAAATTCTTGAAACTTCGATGTTTCGAAATTTATGGCCGCTAATTTACTCAAAATTGATACTAACAACAATCCCTTGAAAAGAAGTAACACTACAATAGAATTTTGGAAAGTGGGCGTAATACCGCCCAAATCTAGCTATATAAGTTTATCTCATTAATTATAACTGAACATACTATCGAAATTGTTAGAAATAGGGGTAAAATCACTCTTCTACCATGTAACGGTAGTTTTCAGAAAGGCTAAAAACTATATTTAATACTTGCGCCGGGTATTTAATATTCGACTCCACCCGAACTTAGACTGTTTACTTGTTTAAATTATCAAAGGACAAATTTGAACAAATTAAGAAAAATAGGGTTTATTAATTTATCCGATGAAAACTCCCAACAAGCTAAGTCTAACAATATATTTGGGGGATTCACAAGGTGTTGTGAAATTATATTTTCCTAACAAAAGTTGTGTTAAAACACGACGGTTGTGAACACCTGTTACGATTATTTATTATATCTCAGCACTTAACCTCACATAACACCGAATAAACATAGGTTGCAGAGTTGTATCGTCATGTGTTATTTTTCTTCACAAAACAATAACAACATTTTTACAACTGTCATGAAATATCATGACTTCACGACAAACACGACAAATACGACACCTTGTGAATTGCCCAATTGTTTAACATCAATTCAAAGGCCCATAAATTCGCTGTTTAATATATATATATTATAAACGGATGAAAAATGGTCAAGCTGTTAATTGATAAGTATAACGGGTTCAGGAACTGTAAGAAACATTTTTTCATGTTGTACTCGATGCTAAATTTTATTTAGGGAGTTTTAATTTTTTGTAGCACCGTGCAATGAAGAAAATGCCAAAAATTTCTTCTGGACTGACTTTTAATTTAAGTGTCGTTATAACTTTTAGCTATTGTCTAAAAACTTAAAAGCCGATATCTTAATGTTTTTACTTAACGTTCTTCTAGCAACCAGCGATACGAACATCGGTCTGCTGTTTAAAAAAACTAGAAGAAGTATGTACAAATCTTTAGATTTTTCAAAAATAATTAACTAAATTTAAAAAAAAGTTGTATCTAGTAGTGGTTCTTCGATAAGACTCGACCGTTTTAAGGAAAGTAACAAACCGAACACAAAATGAAACCTAACAACTATAAAACGCATCATAAAACGCTGGAACTAATCCCTGCACTTATTTGCTTAACTTTTTATATGCATTTTTACATAAATATGTGCATAAATATGTATGTAGTACATACTATGTAGATACATATGTATATGCAACAAGCCACATTAAATTTCATGTCCCTAAACATGCAAGCAAACAAGTATACATGTACTTATTCTCAATTTAGAATGTATACTGAGACACTAATATAAATACTTTGGCAACACTTTTGCCGCGAGGCATGCCATTTGTGAATACTGTCATACTCAGTTCCATCTCGATATCCTGCGGTCCCTCCAAGGAACGCTTCAACTGCAGGTGCACTTCATGCTTGCCCTTTATGGTGCTAGAAAGTAGGGAATATTACTGACTCGTTGTAAGGAAAAAATCTCATAAGAAATCGGTTTATGATACTAACTCAAAGTGATTGTCCGAAGCTTTCTCGATATTCGCCGCGGCTTGGATTTTAATTATCTTCAAGTCAAAGTCGATGTCATCGTACCAAAGTGGCCCGCGGAGACTAAAAATGATTCTACCTTCCGGGGGTATGCTAAGTTTGGAGACTAGAGTAATAAAATTATACGTGTAGGCGGAGGGTTTGCTGTAGCATTCGTCGCCCTCACACAGATTACTGGTCAGACGGCAGCGGCTGTTTTGATGATAAATAAAGAGAATAATTACAAAACATTGGATCATATTCGGCAACAACCACTTTAGAACAATATTGAATATTGAATTATTTACAATGCAAGAAATGGCATTAACACTGTTCTATTAAACTGAATAAATTTGCCATAAACTATTTTCTTATATAAGTTCTTCACATGAAGTGTATCTTACATGTATTTTTCAAGAATGTTATAAGAAAATAAAGAATTAAACAAACAAACCTCAACGAAATAAATGCCAAACGTTAGTATTCAAGGTTGGTCAAATTTGAGACTTAAAATCATTTTACATGTAATTTTATGGATAAATCCTCTTGAAGTACAAAAGCGATATTGTATGATTTTAATTGAGTTTTAAGCTAAATTTGGGAGAGATATAAGTGCAAAGAAACGAAGAACTTATCAGTGATGGGCAAAATTGTATTTACTAAGTATTAAGTACTAAGTACAAAAGTATTTAGGTATTTTGTGTTGTTGTAAATACCAAAGTACTATTTACTTAGGTATTTAGGAGCTGCTAAATACCCAAGTACTATTTACTTAGGTATCTAGGAGCTGCTAAATACTCAAGTAAAAAGTATTTAAGTATTTAGGAGCTATTAGATATTAAAGTAAGAAAAACTTGAGTATTTAGGAACTGCTAGATACAAAAGTACAAAAAACGGAAGTATTTAGCAGGCGCTAAATACTCTGGTCCAAAGTACTCAGGTACCTTGGGGATGCAAAATACTTTCACTAAAGTACCAAGGTATTTAGTCGATGGCTAAATACTTTCAAACTAAATACTGTATAGTTTAGGAGAAATTTAGAGAATTGACACCTCACCTTACACTCACCTCAACTTACTTTACCACAACTCACTTCACCTCTCCGCAAATCCACTCACCACACCTTAATTGGGGATCTATTTCGGGATTTTAGAGATTCTTCAGACTAAATCAGAATTTTCGAGACTATTTCGGGGTTTTCGGGAATATTTCGGGATTTTCGAAGCTATTTCGTAATTCTTTAGGGATTCCCGGAAACTTTGTTTGAGATTTTGGGATTCTCGGAACTAAAATCCGTATTTTGGGGACTCATTTCGGGATTTTTGTGACTTGCGGGATTTTTGGGACTCCGGGACTGTTTTTGGATTTTTGGAACTCATTTTGAATTTTTGGGACTTTCGAGATTCTCGGAACTAAAATCCGTATTTTGGGGACTCATTTCGGGATTTTTGTGACTTGCGGGATTTTTGGGACTCCGGGACTGTTTTTGGATTTTTGGAACTCATTTTGAATTTTTGGGACTTTCGATACTATTTAGGGATTGTCGGGAGTAATTTCGGTATTTTTGGGACTTCCGGGTCTATTTCCAGATTTTTGGGACTTTCGGGACTATTTCGGGTTTCTCGGGAATAATTTCAGATTTTCGAGTGTATTTCCAGATTTTTGGGACTATTGGGACTTTGTTTTGGATTTTTGGGACTTTTGGGATTTTTGGGATTAATTTAGGAGCTATGGGACTTTCCAAACTATTTAAGGATTTTTGGGACTATCGGGACTATTTCGTAATTGTCGGAACAGATTTCGGTATTTTTGGGACTAATTTTGGAATTTTTGGGGCTTTCGGGAGCATATCGATTTTTTGGGTCTTTTTTGGATTTTTGAGACTTTCAAGACCATTTCAGGGTTTTCAAGAGTATTTCGGGATTTTTTGAACTAATTTCGGATTTTTGGGACTTTTTTCATTCTTGGGATTAATTTAGGACTTTTGGGATTTTGAGAACTAATTCGGGACTTTTGGGACCTATTTCCGGATTTTTGGGACTTTCGGGACTATTTCTCCATTTGTGGACTTTCGGGACCATTTCGAGATTTTTGGGACTTATTTAGGAATTTTGGTACTTTAAGAACTAATATTTTCAAGATTTTTCGGGCTTTCGGGAGTATATCGATTTTTTTGGGACAAATTTTGGATTTTTGGAACTTTCGGGATCACTTCGGGATTTTCAGGAGTATTTCGAGATTTTTGGAAATAATTTCGGATTTTTGGGACTTTTGGGACTATTTCTCCATTTGTGGGACTTTCGGGACCATTGCGAGATTTTTGGGACTTATTTAGGAATTTTGGGACTTTGGGAACTAATTCGGGATTTTTGGGACTTACTTCGGATTTTTGGGACTTTCGGGACTATTTCGGGATGCTCGGAACTATTTCCAGATTTTTGGGACCTATTTCGGAATTCTAGGGTTTTCGGGATTCTCTAGAATAATTTCGGGATATTTAGGATCTTCGGGAGTATTTCGGGATATCGGGGACTTATTTCGTTTATTTGGGACTATTTCCAAAAATCTCGAAATACTCCTGAAAATCCCGAAACGATCCCGAAAGTTCCAAAAATCCAATATTAGTCCCAAAAAAATCGATATACTCCCGAAAGCCCCAAAAATCCCGAAAATAGTTCCGAGCATCCCGAAATAGGCCCAAATATCCGAAATACGTCTCAAAAATCCTGAATTAGTTCTTAAAGTACCAAAATTCCTAAATAAGTCCCAAAAATTCCGAAATACTCCTGAAAATCCCAAAAGTCCCAAAATCAGTTCCGAGAATCCCGAAATAGGGCCGAAAGTCCCAAAAATTTCGAAATACAGCCAAAAATCCCAAAAACCCCGAAAATACTCCCGACAATCTCTAAATACACCCGAAAGTTCCAAAAATCTTAAATAAGTCCCAAAAATTTGGAAATAGTCTCGAAAGTCCCACCAATACCTAAATTACTCCCGACAATCACACGCGCCCCAAAAATCCCTAAATAGTCCCGAAAGTCCCAACAGTCCCGAAATTATTCCCGAGAATCCCGAAAACCCCATTAATCCAAAATAAGTTCCAAAAATCTGGAAATAGTCCCAAAAGTCCGATATAAGTCACAAAAATTTCGAAATTAGGCCCGAATATCCCGATATTAGGTCGGAGAATCCCGAAAGTCCCAACAATCCGGAAACAGTCCCGAAAGTCCCAAAAACTAGAAATTAATCCTAAAAATCCAAAAATAGTCTAGAAGTCCCAACAATTCTGAGAATATCGAAATACTGCCGAATGTCCCGCTATTTACTCCGAGAATCTCGAAAGTCCCAAAAATCCCTAAATATTTTGAAAGTCGTTTCGAAAATCCCGAAAATCTTAAACAGTTTCCGGGAATCCCTAAAGAATTACGAAATAGCTTCGAAAATCCCAAAATAGTCCCGAAAACTCCGAAATGGTCTTCTAAATCCTGATTTAGTCTGAAGTATCTCTCAAATCCAGAAACAGTTCCCAAATTGAGGTGTGGTGAGTTTAGGTGAGGTGTGGTGAGAACGAGCGTGATGAGTTCAACTGTGGTGGGTTAAGATTTGGCGGATTTTGGTGTACCAGTAGGGGGTGTGGTGAGTTTAGGTGAGATGTGGTCAGTTGGTATGTGGTGAGTTGATTTGAGGAGAGGTGAAGTGGGTTGTGGTAAAGTAAGTTGAGGTGTTAATTCTCTAAATTTCTCCTAAACTATACAGTATTTAGTTTGAAAGTATTTAGTCATCGACTAAAATACCTTGGTACTTTAGTGAAAGTATTTTGTATCCCCAAGGTACCTGAGTACTTTGGACCAGAGTATTTAGCGCCTGCTAAATACTTTCGTTTTTTGTACTTTGGTATCTAGCTGCTCCTAAATACTCTAGTTTTTCTTACTTTAATATCTAATAGCTCCTAAATACCTAAATACTTTTTACTTGAGTATTTAGCACCACCTAAATACCTAAGTAAATAGTACTTGGTTATTTAGCAGCTCCTAAATACCTAAGTAAATAGTACTTGGGTATTTAGCAGATCCTAAATACCTAAGTAAATAGTACTTGGGTATTTAGCAGCTCCTAAATACCTAAGTAAAGAGTACTTGGGTATTTAGCAGCTCCTAAATACCTAAGTAAATAGTAATTGGGTATTTAGTCATCTCAAAATACTAAGTATTTGTGTATTTAGTACCCAAAGTGGTACTTTAAGTACAAAAGTATTTAGGTGTGCCCATCACTGGAACTTATTCAGTTCATAAGGTGTTCTGTTAATTGGGGCATTAAAGCTGTATACAGTTCTGCAAATGTCAACAATAAATGTTTGGGACGTAAGAGTCTACTAGGCACAGCAAAACTAATTGTAACCAGAAGAGAGGAACAGTCAACAGAGCCAGAGACAATGTCGAACAAAAAGGAGATTGACAAAAATTCCATCTGTTATGCAAAGACATTACATTAACCAACTGACAACGTGAATAATAAGTAGGTAAAGGTTCTGAAATATGGAACGCAAGACAAACCGAGTAAACACATTTTGAACTGATTCCAATCAATTAATATGGATTTGGTGGTAAGGCCTCCAAATAAACATAATATTCAAATTTGGAGCTTACAATGGACTTCATGCATAAAAAGCGAGCTTAAGCTCAGACTCAATTTTTGCTATAATGGAGTGAACTCAAGCTCACGAATTTGTACTGAAAAGCGATTCGGAGCTTAAGCTCACTTTTTATACATGAGGCCCAAGACGCGCTATTTTGGCTGACGAAAACAATAATTAAAAAGATTTAGAGATATGTGTGACGAAGCTAAATATTGCATTCAAGTAAACCCCATCTCATTTACCGAGTCCAAAAAACTAGATGATATACTGTATGAGAAACGGATTAAATCCTGGAGTTTAGATTAATCCCCTTATTCTAGAACCCGAATGTTCGTAATTCGTAGCTACGCTACGAAAAACGAAAAATCCACATGCTGCAACCCTTGCGGAAACATGTGCTGCATTGCCAGCTATCAGTTGTTTTTCGAAGATAGCTGAATGAAGGAAAACAAAGTGGAAAGGAATTAAAAAAACACTCATCATGTGCTTGTTTATTGTAAAATTGGTTAATTTTACATATTTCGAGGAAAATTATGGATTCTGATGTAAGAGTAAGAGGGCGCTATGGCAATGGATT